GGCTCCTAGCATAAGACAGGTCCACCTACTGCTTACATGCAATCGTATATGACCTTGGGAAACGCATCTAGCCAGAAGGACGATGTCTCCAAAAGCATCTTAAATCTACCTACTAGTTTCAACGTTTATTGCCTCCTGTAAAGAAGCAGTCTCCATTTCAGGATGCCTACAGTAAGCAACACCAAAGAAGTACTCCGCAAGAGTACATACTGACAATATTACTAAACTCCACAGCAAATTAAATCTTCAAAAAACATATACCTATGTTATGTATTTATAGGTGAAATGGATTAAATAATAATGTACAAAAGTTACATGGATAGTCTTTTAAATTTGAAATTGTACTTATTCCAGGAGTTGACAGCTTTGCTCATCCTGTCTTGAACTACCTCCCTTATATACTGAACCCTTATGAAACAGTACATAGGACTTCCGAGACATTCCAGACTAGCATTTTTGTTGATACCATGAATGTTGATAAAATGAAGATACAAATCAAGAACACCTGAAAGCAGCCCTCGAATCCACTCAGCTCAAAAAATGTGGACAAAATTGTTCATTTCATTCATTTTTCTTTAAAATCATATAAATGCTGTTAAAAATGAAGAGTTGGGGGCACGGGGCTCCAAGTTCACGACTCTTTCTCTTGTCAATGCATAAACTACTATAGTTTATGAAGCATACCTCAAAATAAAAGTTATATGCCTTTCAGAACCCCCAAAACAGCAGAAATTTTTCTTCCTTGCTCTGAAAACATTGAAACAGGATGAGATAGAGTTTCTCACTGCCAAACAGGCCTCAAATGCTGCCAGTGTCACATATGAGGCAGTTTTTCAGGCAGGTGGCTACTGCAGGAGGGCCCAACTACACAGAACAGAATGTTGTTTTGGTTTCAAATGTAGTTCACTCCTCATTTCCAGGGGAAAAAAGCAAGAAATAAAAGTAAAAAAATATATGGTCTTACCTTCTGGCACAGCTAGTCTTAGTAAAAAAAAAAAAAAAAAAAAAGCAACTTTCATGCTAGAAAATGATGCCTCGGTGACATCTGATATTAGACAGGACCATGAAACACTCAGAAAATACCTTAAGTATTGGGAAAGCCAACATTCAACTCCCAAGTAACAAGAGAGAGCACAGAATCCACCCACATCTTTCATTATATGCAGAAACCAAGGTAAGATCATAAGAATTAAAGTCCAGGTACAGAGGAGAAAGATAGAAAGCACTTCCCATCACTCCAGCCAGTGTTGCCTCCTACCACAGTCACAGTGGAAGCAAGTAGCATTTTGACCAACCACAACAATCAGTAAGAGAGCAGACCGCTAGAATTGGTCGTTCTCGGCAACCGAAGCAATTGATAACAGCATACAATTTCCAGCTTCCCTGCAGAGCTTAAAGATGTTCTGTAGCATGACAGATAAGTAATAAATGCTCTGAAGTTGTAGCTCTGTACTAAAGTGTTGTTAATAAACATCATTGGACAACATTATATCTTGGCATGAGTTTCAGTTCCTCCTGCATTTACAATATGAAGTTTTGATTTTGGTGACTGTACTGCCCTCTTTTCCTTGTTTCTCATTTTTTCCTGTTTATCATTTACTAGACTGCCTCAAATTGTGTTTCTCACTTTGCAGTTCAGCTATAAAGTTAACTATGAAGTTAAAAACTGATTATGATTCTAGTACAAGGTAAATATACAATTCACAAAATAAATGACAAACAAGTACAAAGCTTAGTAAATTATAGCTACACTTCAACTTATGCTTCATCCTTCAAAGCAAACCAATTCTCAAGCATGGAAACGCCTCAAGCATCTGAAATTTGTTTTACTATCAACTCTTATATGCTCCAAAGGAGGAGGTGTGGTATCACAACATTGATCATATGTCAGACATTTAGGCTGCCATCAAAGAAATATCAGCTAATATCAGCTGCAGAGCTACTGCAGCCTTCGCTGGGCTGCCATCAAAGAAATATCAGCTAATATTACTAAAAAACAGAGCTACTGCAGCCTTCGCTGGATATCATGGGAAGGGAACACAGGAAAGGGAGGCTGATCTAATCACTTACACAAAGCAGTAAAAGTGGTAGATGGATTGTTACGTCTCAAAGACAGGAAGCAATTATTTTTAAAACAAAGCTGAATTCCAACATTAACAAGGTCTTATTTATTTATTTTAGGACACATGAAATACGGTATGTTTTTTTAATGTTATTATGGCGAATATGCAGACACACATTACCAGAGAAAGCTTAAACAAGACTTTCTCACCATGCTTTCTCTCCTTCAGATAGATTCTTAAGTCCTCTCACAGCTGCTCTCCTTCTATTTCTTTAAAACAGCTTACAGCATGACTGTTGCACAGCTCTTGTATTTCTGATTAATAATCTACTAAATGTATGCTCTAGAAATTTGTAAGGACCATACGATATATGAAATGTTATAGTTGTTAAGAGTTCATGAGTTGGCTGTACATTTAATTGCTCTATAATATCTTGGCAGTTAACTCTGGAGTCCCAGATAAAAGCCCATTATTTTTGTTCTGTGAGGAAATCCACAGACCCTTCTTTCTTGACAAGGACCTCAACATAAAATAGTCTTAGAATGCATGATACTGCTCTATACCACAGTGTTTTTTCCATGTCATCATTTTTGTAAGCCTAACATTAATTCTTGCATTTCACAGGGTACACCATATAATGTGAACAAGGTACTAAAAAAAGCTATTGGAAGGAATTTTTTATATTCTATACCTCTAATATTTCAAAGAATTCAGGTTTAAAAAGTGCTTGGACATGGCTTTCAGCTTAAACTCTCTTGGAGCCAGGCAGCCTCACTCCACATAAACCTCACTGCCTACACCATGTAACTACATACAAAATCTGCACAAATTCCATCTGATCAGTTGTTATCTATAACTCCTGCCAGCTAAGGACAGAAGTCCTGCCAACCTTTTAAAGATATCCAAATTCTCATGCTTTGCAGAACAAAGACAAACAGCATTGCTACCCATTTGCATGCCTTTACTATCCTTTTTCATGGACCACTATTGCTTCGCAACCACAACTGCTCTCAATCTTTAAAGTTGTTGCCTTTAAAAGAAAGCACCTGAGCCTTAACGTATACCTGCCTCACACTTTCATATCAGAAAGACTCCACTGTAGGCTTTGCGGCAAGGATGGCTCTACAGTGTTTCACAGAGGGTTTAGTGAAAGAATAGGAGCTGATATCATCTTCCACATTCCCACTATGCTGGGAAGGGTATATCAGGCTACTCACCCATGCTCATCTTAATAGGTAAATTTTCTCTGCTTGCAGCCTCCACAAGGTGTCTCCTAGCCTCCATCACAGCTTCCTTTTGTTTGAGGTTCATAAAGGACTCCCAGAGAGCTTTGGCAGCTGGATCACTATAAGAAAATGACAGGGTTATACTAAACATTTCTTGAATAATGGAATAAGCTTAACACAACATTTATATTTTAAGATGAGTGCTTCTACTTAGTAAGTCCTCTGAGGCGGGCAGGATACAGGCAAAAGTAGAAGGAAATAAAAAGCTTCTTTTTTTTTTTTTTTTTAAAAGAGAGAAACAATTACTGTGGTTTTACAGAAAAACTCTAGAATTTCTGGCTACCAACTATAAAGCATTAGAATTCATATATAACAAACTTAAAAAACAGCCGCAAAATAACCAAGTAACCACTACTACTGTTCAGCTATGGGAATATCAGGAACAGTCCAATGCTCTACAGTTACTGAAAAGCTATAAAGAGCATGGTACTGCAGATGAGCTCTAACTTCCCACCGAGAGCTTAAATCCCACAGCCAATTCTTCAATGCTGAAGGCTGCTAGGATGACATGATGAACCACCATCACTTTGGGCTTTGTGGATTCTGCCTATTGAAATGAATAATCTATAGCAGAATGTAACTGTCCTTACAATTTTTTTTATTTGCAGATTTATTTTTTATCATTGTTAAGCACAAGTTAGACACGTAGCTCATGTGCATTCATTTTTCTGTCAGTATTCTCTGTCACCCAGGACATTGCATTTTTGATTGCTGTAAATGAATTTAGTGTTTTCTTAGGGCGGGGAGGGGGGGAAGGAGAAAGGGAGAAATATCCTCTCCTTGGACTAAAGCCACACATTGGGATTAACCGAGTTGGATTTTTTTTTTAAACCTTCCCTCTGGTTTTTTTCCCCCTAACAGATACTTTTCTCCTAAATACTTTTTAATGTCCCTTACAATAAGCTTACCAACATGCCAAAAAGGGGTTTTGTTCCATGGAGAAAAAGAAACCCCAACAATTCATTTGATACCTGCACTGTTCCAGAGCAGCTGTGCTTACTGTCTCCTGCAGTGGCCTGGCTATATTTAGAAATTGATACTATATACCAAACTGGGTAGGAGGGCCACCAAGCCCCACTAGTGTCATCCCAATAACCCACATCCTCTATCAAGACCCGTGCGGGTGGAAGGGCTGTGGGAAGAAACTTGATTTACCCTTCTGAACAACCCACAAATGAATAGGAAGAGCAAATTTCATCCTATTAAAGTACTTTAAGAAAGATCTAAAATAAATAGTAAGATTTTAGGAAAAGTAAGAGAATAGCCAGAAGCAATACCTATCACCCAAGACATTTAAAAGTTAAATTTAATAAAACAGGGGAACACCCCATGCAGCAGAATCCTGAAAAAGCAGAGAAACCGATGATCTAACACAGCATCTACTCCCCTTTTCTTCTAGTGCAATTCTAACATCCTCCCTGTGGGGGGACAGACGCAGGAGACTGCCTCCCAAAGCCGCCCCAGCAGCAGCCACTGCTCCCGCATCCCCCAGCCAGTGCAACCTGAGGGCGCTGACATTGCAGCCGGTTCACGGGCAGCAACTCCAGGGAGACTCCTCACAAGACAAAGCACATCATTTTATAACAGGCAGCAGTACAGGAGATATGAAAGAGATTCCCAAAGTAATTGGATGTTTCAACACCGTCTCCTTAAATTAATGGATACTTCAGTATGCTGTTTTTACATATTCTATATACCCAACTATTTTGGTTCAGTTCATTCCCTCCTAGCACCACCTCTAGAGGCAGCCTGTTGACCCTGTTCACGTCCCATATACAGGGCAGGTCTCCTTGTCGTTTACAAGTGCGCCTGAGGATCAGACTGCAAGAGGTCATCCCCTACTGCCACTGCAACACTAATGCACACGTTAGACAGCTTTACAAGACCTAGTAAGCCTTAGTAAAGCATTGCTCAAGAATGGGATATAAATGCACCCTTTTCACACTAAAAACAGACAAAGCTGTAACCAGGTCTCCTGGTATGCAGTGCAGTGGGGACAGAGTTAGGTCCCAAGGTGTTGAGCAACTGATCATTTATAACTGTCTGAAAGGGGAGAGTAGTCCCAATTGGTTCCTGCTCCGTCCCCTCCCTTTTTTCTAGCGATTCACATTTCTTCCCCTCCTCAACCCCTTCCCAACCTGTCCACCCATACACTCCTATCTTGACACTTCCATCTGTCTGACACTTGGGACCCTAAAGCATACAACCCCAGAAAGCTTTCTGTGTTTATGCTGAACACCCTTTATCCCCTCTGCTGAGGGCTCTTTGTGCCAGCTACCTCCATCCTCGTTATTTCAGCTGTCCACGTTCTCTCATTACGTTTCCTCTTTTTTCCTTTTGCCCTCCCGAAAATGCAGTTCCAAATCCAAACCCTATAAAGATCAGGAATTAGGCCTAAAACAGCAGGAAACTGGTTTTTAAAAGACTTTTTCCCCATTTGAAAGAATTATCAACTTCTGTAGGCTAAAATCCTAGAAAACAAGAAGTTTTTTTCCCCAATTCCCTTCACTACCATAAAGATGAGTCAGAAATCTCATATAATCATGACACCAGGAGCCGGGGCTTTAAAACAACCAACCAACAAAAAACAAACTAAAACAAAAGCCTACCAAAGACTGTGCAAAATTTAGCAGTCTCATTTTTTCCTCACTACTACACCTCAAAAATATTTAGCAAATAGTAAAGTATAGAAAACAACCCAATAAGCATCTATACACCTCAGCAAAAATTACAAGTCAGCAACGCATGTGATAAGTGTGCACCGTTTCTCTAACTGTTGTCCTTGTTTGCTGCTTTCCCTTTCCTTTCCATGTATCAATTTAGACAGCAGGCTCTTGGAAAGCAAGGTACACCATACTTGCGTAACTCCTAGTAAAAGGCTGGCACTTCTACACACTACTAGTTTGAGCAATAAACCTCCAAAATAATATCCTAATTATTTTGAACTTTAAAAATTCCAGTTGACCCACACTAGTGCACTAAAACAAAAGGCTGGTTTCGCATATTTTTTTGTTTTGGTATTGTTGGGTTTCTTTTTTTTTTTTTTTTTTGCTTTTTGCTTTGTAAAATGTTTCTTCCTTCTTTAACCACAGTAGGCTTTCTTTAATCTCAAGGACTTAAGTTTGTATGATCCCTCAGGGTTGTTTTAACACTTTAAAAATAGCAAAAAGCAAGTCAACTGTGGTACAGTCTAAACGCAGATGAGGGGCAGACACACTCTTGTATGCTTGGACCTCTGTGTCATCTATTGAGTTTCTGTAGACGTTTCTCTTCCCTCTACTTTGGAGACTATATAAAGGTTTAGGTAAAATATACAGACGAATACCTAAAGAGGATGAGAGATCAATATATATGAATAGGTCACATACAATGCCAGCCAGCCGGCTATGTCAATCCACAGAAAAAGCAACGTTTTCGTTGTTCAGCCATTTTTGGCAACACGATAAGGGAAAAGGCAAGTCACTTCAGCTGAAGGAATGAATTTTTTTTGGAACTGATAAAATTTAGACTAAAAACTATCAAGCAGAAAACTATTTGAGATGGCAAAATCATCCTGAGCTTTCTGTGCATTTGTAAAAATAATTCTTCAGTAACTCAAGTAGTTACTAATACATTTTTTAGACTGACATTTTAAAACAATATTTGCAGGTACACATTAGGAAAATTAGTATTCATATAATGAAAAATGTCTATCTATAGAAATCTTTGTATGGAAATGTGCAAATATAAAAATAACAAAGTGCAACGCAGAGGCTTTATTTATCGCTTAAGGTCAACACTCTCCGTTATAGATTCAAAAAAAAAAAGTTTCACTAAAAGCGTACTCCAAACCATCCAGCCTAAATCTAATCCTATCTCTTCTTAAAAAAGCTCAAGAAAACAGATAGGTTTCCAGTGTGCCTGGAAAGTGAGCAAGTATGGACACTGTCAAGTGAAGGGTACTTGGGAGAACCCCTCAAAGGAAACTGTTCGGCCAACAGCCTCATCTGCTTAAACAAACACTTCCGAGCTTCGGCCCCTCTGCTGACCCCAGCTGCTGCGGTGTAACACATGGTCTGGCCAGAGACCCTCTCTCTGCGGGTCAGGCCACAAGCCAGTTAGATTTACATGTCAAAAGCAACACCTGAAATTCCACATGGAGGCTCTTCAGGAGCTACTGCAGCGCCTGGAAGTGCAGCGCGTGTCCTGTGTCAGCACCGTCCGACACGCATGCAAACGTCCTGGGCAAATGGAAAGTTTCCAAGCACAGTAAGTTATACGGCCACGTACAGCACGCCAAAGCAGTCTGCGTTCAAAGTGATAAAGTTAACAGCCCCAAAACAGCTGAAAGATACCCTGCCTTCCGGCTTTTACTGCATTTCCTCTGTTCTTTGCGCTGAGCCCTGCAGGCCAAGCCTTCAGCTTGCCCACTCCTCTAAGTGCTTCAGAGAGCTGGCAGGATTGCGCCACTTGTGTTCTCTAGACAAAGAATCTTGCAAAAACAACTTCAAATCACAGCTATGCCTATCACACATAGGTGGTGCACTGTGATTGTCAAGGTAAAACTAGAATTTACTAATTTACTGTAGAATTTACTGTACTACCTCCTCCTGAAGGAGAGAATAATTCTGTTATTTAATGTTTTAAATCAATATGAAATCCAAATGGAGAGCTAAGCAAAAGCTTAGCAAGAAAGTAGACCAAGCATATTTGAGAAGTTGGGCACCTTCCAAAAGGGAGGATGGGCAGGAAAAAAAAAAGACCAAGAAAGTCCAATGTATTATATGTCTAAAAAAAAAAAAAAACCTACAGGTGTTTCAGAAGTCTACTAATCATAGAAATCCCCTATTTACAGTTATATTGCTGGCTGAAGAATTCAGAATGCCCCTCTGCCATTTTCAAAGTACTATTCTTTTAGTCATTGATAAAACAGTAAGTGGCATTTCTGCGTAAAGAAAGAGGCTACATGTTTATAGGGTTTCCTTTACAGCAGCAAAATCCACAAATAGAGAAACACATCTTGCTAGGAAAGGGAACCCCACCCATGGTACACAGCCTAAGCAGCCTCTATCAACAAACA